TCCTTTTGTGGGTTTGAAAGCGATGTTCTGTGAAGGTATCATAACGCAGGTTTAGTGAGGGATGAATATACAGAAACTATTTATTGTAATTCCAGAAAGAGAGTCATAATTGTTCGTGGTTGTAAGGTCGAGATGATGCTTGTTACCCTCCAGGAATTAAGCCTTAATAGCAGGTCGTCGGCCCAATAGGGGACTATAGGATGCCTTAGAAGAAGGCCGTTTCGCGTAGCTCTAGAGCAAGTTCGTCCTAAGTAACGGGCGTCGTAAGAGCCATAGTCCCTTCCTCCTGGATCGAGGGCCATCACAATCAATTTTATTGCACGTGGAAATGGCGATGAAAGGCCGCAGGATCTACGTGGCGTAAGTGGGCGTCCCGGCGAGGCGAGGCCATTCACGACGGCGCGACCCAGCTGGAGGGGAACCGGCTGCCCGCTCGCTGTGCCGCCGGGAACCGTGGCTGTAAGACCCGATGTTAGGGGGGGGGCGCGGTGGACTTTACTTTATATATCATATATTATTATATTATGATGTATATGTTCGTATAAATGAATATGAATATATATAAGCATTTATAAGCATATATTTGTATATGTATGTACATTTATGTATATATATCTGTATATTTATGTATATATGTTTTTATATAGATAATTATGTATATATGTGTTTATATAAATATTTATGTATATATGTGTATATATGTACATTTATGTATGTGTATATATATGTACATTTATGGATATATCTGTGTGCATATATATATATATATATATATATATATATAATATATATATATATATATATATATGTATATATATATATGTATGTATATATATATATATGTATATATGTGTATATATGCATATATATGTATATGTATATATGTGTATATATGCATACATATATGTATATGTATATATGTGTATATATGTATATGTATATATGCATATATAGTATATATGTGTATATATGCATACATATATGTATATGTATATGTGTGTATATATGCATACATATATGTATACATATTTGTACAATAGTTTTCGAACGCACTTTTTATGATAATTTTATTACGCACAGGCCGTATGTGTGTGTGTGTGTGAATACTGACCGTTCCTCTCCGATCAGTACAGTACATCATAGATACATAAATGCTGTCATTGCAACGATATATGTATACATATGTGTGTATATATATATATATATATATATATATATATATATATTATATATAATATATATATATATATATATATATATATATATATATATATATATATATATATATATTATATATATATAATATTATATAAATATATATATATATGTTATATATTTATATATTATGTTTATATATTTATTTACATATATGTAATTGTTATATATATATATATATAATATATATAATATATATATATATATATATATATATATATATATATATATATATAATATATATATATATATATATTATGTGTGTATAGATTCACACACACGGTCATGCATGTACACATTGCGTGTGCATGCATGAACGTATATACGTGGCCACAACTGATCTGGAACAACAGAACACTCTTGAAGTCAATAGCGTCGTATCATCACAGAGTTCACAATCTTGTGTCAACACAGCACGACCTCTCGTAAGTTGACGGGTAAGAAATAGTGAAAGGAAACCCCTTCTCTCCTTACGTCCCCCGCCCCCTCCAGCCCTCCTCTCAGAAATTGCAAGTAAGGGCCATCAGGTGCCTCTCCTGTGACCGAGTTTGTCGCGTGACTCACCGCCCACAACTCGGAAGGCTTCACAAAGTCGCCATTTTGGGCTCTGCATACCGCCAGGAGGCCATCCACCGGGAGGCATTTTGTGTCTATTTGTGTTCCCCGATTTTGGGAGAGCAGGGGCGCTCCAGACGCGTGAAGACCCGTTGCGTTTATTTTCTATTCAAGGGAATTAGCCCTTGTGTCCCGGGCTGGCTGGCATTCAGGGACATCGCCCATCAACCATAACAGCGAGCAACCGCTTCCTTCTCACGGACGCACGCGTTTCCAAGAGTTGCAGCCCAGGAGTTGTGGTTTGTGACCCTGAGCTCGCGAGACCACCACGGCACGCATTGTTTGGTTTCGTGGAGGTGGGATAGCTCGGGAGGTGCTGTTATCCTCTTTCTCGCTGTGGCTCCTGTTCTCTTGTTTTGTTAGGGAATCTGGGGGTTAAGAGAGGATAATATATGTCAGAGGACAGTGCTTTAAGTTTTTTCTCGGCTCGCTTCTCCTTGTCTAGTTTCCTGTCTCTGCTCGTATCCCTAAGGAGAATGTGTCTTATTTTGGAATTTGTTAATGTATGCAGGCAGAGTTTGGGATATTTATGTGGTTAAGGGAGATTGTGATATTCATGAAATTCTTCCTTATAAATCCATCAATTCTTAAATATGTACAGAAGATTTGATTCATCTAGCAGTAAGATACTGGTTTGCAGTAGGAAATATTTGTTTTTTTATATCATGGAAAGCAGTCTCACAACAGAAGGACCAGAATCTAGAAAAATATGCCGGACTGATATGAGGGATCGGGCGGCATCGGCCTGAGTCACGGTGAGTAGCCAGGGACACTGACTCAAACGAGGCATTGTTGTGGGGCTATACAGTCTTACTGCCGCCGCACACAGTCCCAATGCCTCGCTGCTAATTGGTGTCTTGCCGCCCGTCACTCACCATTACGATAAACAGTGCCTGCTAATTGCCTGCTGACTGGCTTGTCGTTTGCGCCGTCGAGGGGGACTCCACCAAGACTTAAGTAATGATCTTGTGTGTCAGACGTCGGGGCTGTGAGGGATGCAGACATGACAGGCTTTGTCGTCCTGCCTTTTCGTTGCCTGTCGGAATGTTATGACGTATCTATTAAGAAAACCGCATTTGTCTTCGATGGAAGAGCTGGGTATTTCTTCAGGTAAACGTGATAGAAGTTGGAAAAGAACTCTGTAAAAGCAACATATCTTTATCACTCGAGACCTGCATTGTAAGTGTCACCCGCAGTGATCCGCGTCGGTTTCCTACCTCGAAAGTAAGAAGGAAAAAAACAACAACCCCAGTTATAGTTATCAGGATGAAGTTACAATCCCCGGGAGACCACATTGATGCGCCGCACACCGCCTCAAGGAACAGGCTAGAGCAGTATCAACTACATTCCTCAGTGGAACGTTAAATCAGGTCGCAAGTGCTCCCCAAGGCGAAGTGTTCTTGGTGGCCGGGAGATCGAGGGCCACGTGAGCCAGGGCACCGCGATTCGTATTCAGGACCTTAATTAAAATAGGATATTTCTTCCTAGTTTGATGCATGCCGCGGTAGGTATTCAGGGCCTCGGAGGAAGGGGGAAGGACAGGGTGCATGAAGATGATGTGAGGCCAGAATTATATATTTTGACCTTTTATGGTTTAAGGAGGAAAAAGTATGCAGATTACGATAGTTTTTTTGTTGCGGCAATTGTTAATTAGGGTTAAGTATTGCATGTGTATACTCTTGAGGTTAAACATGGGACTTTTTTTTACTATTTTTGTCGGCTATACTTTTTCAAGTTAAAGATAAACAGCTGGGATTTATACCGTTTGCTATTTTTACCGATGTACTTCGGTGATAACAAAAGTTATTAATCATATTAATCTTATCAACTCAAAGGCCAGGGATTTAATCTGGTGAATTTGTATTCTGGTGTATATTGGGCACAGTATTAGATAAGCTGTTTGTTGTAATGTTTCTTTGAATCTGGCGAAGATATTTATTTTTTATTTTTTTCTGCATTTTGATAATGAACGCATTCATTACAAAAACCAGCACAGACCCGCGTTTCAGCCTTGGAAGCCGGGTGGCTTGTCATAATCGCCTCCCACCTTATACTTATCTTTTAATCCCACAGCTCACGTATGAATGATGATTCCTTGTGCCTTATAAGTCGCTCGGGGGTTAGGGCGCGCGTTGATGTACGATGACCATGCGTCGGATTCAATGGCTAGATCCTCAGGGGGGTTGTATTGAAGTGTATTCGAGGCGCGTCCGTATCAGGTGGTCGGGCAGGTAGCAGTAGCCCCAAGTAGCCCCGAGTAGCCCGACCCGTCAGCGCAGCCCCCTTGCCGCTGTCCACACGCGCCTTGTAGATGGAACATCGGAATTTTTGGAGGAGAATGCATAAAAGAGGAGAGGTGGACTTGGATACGGATTTTGTTTTATATGTGGGATGTGTCCATGCATGTGTCTATATGTTGTATGTATTCTCTGTCGACATGCTTGTGTATGTTCGTGTCTGTTAACGCATCAAATCACTCTCACTCACTCACTCTTCACTCTTCACACACTTTTCACTCGCTCACTCATTCACTTCACTCTCACACACACACTTCACTCTCACACACACACTTCACTCGCTCACTCATTCACTTCACTCACTCTTGCTTATTCACTTCCTACACTCATTCATTTACTCACTCACTCACTCACTCATCACTCACTTATTCACTTCACTAACTCACTCTCTCATTTACTCATTCACTCTTCACTCACTCACCCACTCACTCCCTCGCTCGCTCGATCTGTCTGTGCTTCTGTATGTGTGTTTGTGTGACCTTGAGGTAATAGTGACCGGCATCGCTGGGGGCTTTATACAGCAGATGTGGTCAAGCAAACACACCCCGCCAGTACTTGCTGTCTGGAGCTTGTCTTTGGGGAGGCCGGATTACGATCACAGCATCACAAGGCTTTTAAGGCATGGTCGTTAGGGTTGTGAGAGAGTCCTGGGAGATGGTGTGGTGGCTGGTATACTTTCCTTTTCTTTCCGGGTTTTAAGATGAAGGGGGAAAGAAAGGTATAGCGTGCATAGTAATGGGGTTAGTAACGGGTGAGGCCATTCGGGTAGGTTTTGCAAGTCGCTTGTAATTTTATTGAAAGATTGGTACATGTTTTGTGCGAGTTTTCTGCTGTTTTGATGTTTTTTAACGTTTTTTCTTTCCTTTTTCGCAG